TACAATAATTCGTGGCATAATTATTTTGTAAAATAAATCTCAGCACGAATGCAAAGTCGTCGCAGAGAGACTGAAATGTGCATCGGAAGTCCGTCCATCGAGTCTGGCTGCGGAGAGAGACGATGGGGGAATTAACCCAGGCGAACAAAGTGGAGAACAAAGTAGAATCTTTTCGTTCCATCGCCCGGCTAATATCTGATGCTGCGAGCGTAACGAGCACACAAAAGAAGAAACCTCGCGCTGGTTACCTCGCAAATCCGCGCTCTCTCTCCAAGGAAAAGCGCAATCACGCTAACAGCGCGCGATTAACCGTGGAACAATGGCCGGCGGTCCGAGGCTTCCGAAAATTCGCGGCAACGACACAATGAGCGTCTCCTATCCGCGGCGGGTTTCCTCCACCGTATCTGAGTGGCGCTATACTTTTCAGTCTGTTATAAATACACCGTGTAAACGTCTCGGTGACACCGGGCTCGTTCCTCCGTCGCGCTTCCGCGGCTTCCGCTTTCGTGCGGTGACAACGGGAGTGGAAACAATGAGACCAACCTCTCCGCGTTCTCCGCCGCGGCTCCGTTCCACCGTGCAAACTTTAGCTTTTGTCCCGACGCTACGCCGAGAACCAAGCGACAGAACGAAAAAGAATCCCTCCTCCTCTGCTTCGTTTACGGCCGAAACAATACTTTTATCTTTGGAAATTCGTCGGCGACGACCTCCGAGACAGTGGTGGCGGCCGGGGGTCGCCGCCTAATTAGATTTCGCGCCGAGAGGGCCTATTATTTTAACTGGCCCCCGCCGTTGTTACACCGCAGTTACACCGTCGTTCGTGTAATAAAGTTCTAAACGGCGAGACAAAGAAACGCGACAGATTAATAAGTTCGTTAACGAGATACCCGGTTTAATTAATTCCGCGATCCGAGTGGACATTCATTCTCCTGTCGTTCGATACAGATTTACACCTCGTTTTCTCCTCTTTTCTTCGTCCTTTCTTTTTCTCTTCTCTTTTTTTTTAGCGACATTAGCGTTATGCGAAGCCTTTTTGTTCTAGTATTAATTAGAATCGAAAGAACGGCTAATTGAGATTCGTTTAGACGACGACACCAAGGAGAGTCTTTGTGCGCTGTAATCCTGCGAGAGGAGGGATTATCTCTCTTATGCTTTATTAACATGCACTCCTTTCAACGACGTTTGTTGCCCGATGAAATTCATGGCCTTTATCGTTGGTCGTTATCGCGTGAGGATTACGCCGATGCAATTGTGCTTCTCCCTCAAACGAAAGTAATAAGTAAACAGAACGAGCAAACTCTCGACACGATTTGGCGCAGCTCGTTTCCACTGACAAACCAGCGCAACGTTCTACGAATCAGTAGTCCGTGTTTTTGATGGAAAAGCTGAAAAAGAAGACCATCTCGCAGACTGTGAAAGAAAACAGTTTCCAGTCCTATACTTGAACCGATTTCTCATCTCTCTGCGAAAGTTCAAACGATATCAGCTTTGCGCATCACACGTTTGTCTCGCGAGATTCTGCTAAACAGGTCAGAGTACACAACGTAGAAGAAGAAGAAGGAAACTTATAAAGAGTCATTATCATGCGAACCTTGGTCGAACGTCGCTCTGACAGTGAGGAACGAAGAGTAGAAAACAATATCGCCGCGCGGTCTAGAGACGAAGGCGGAACGAAAGCGGAATGCCACGAATTTCGGTTGGCGTGGCGATAGTATCGGCGAGTTTGGAGTTTGAGCATCGGCGAGCACGGGCCGGTCTGCTCTGATAAAGGAGAAAGCCCCGATATTGGTCAGACAGTGGAATGCCCGCACGTTCGCATCGGACAACAAGATTTCTCTCTGTACCTTCTACCAGTCTCGTCGGCCTTATGGACCGAGGTTGCCGGATGAAACGGAAGGCGAAACAGGGACCGCGGAGTATAGAGAGAGAAAGAGAGACATGAGGAGAAAGGGGAGGGAAGAGTGGAACGACAGATCGGGGGCGAGGTTAAAAGGAAAGTCGAGGGGATCGAAAGATTGCGATTGGAACAAGTACCGTTAAGCGGCGATGGTCTGCCCGTTGTCACGATCAGACGTTACCCGCAACACGAGCGCAGCTCGTACACGCGCACCCTCTCGTCTCCGCTGTCCCGGCTAAAGAACAAGTCGGGGCAAATTGAATTTCGGCTCGGAACAGCGAGCAACGAGAAGAAAAAAAGACGGTGGAAGACTGTAACCGTCGACGACGTACGGGAGAGACGAGCGCAGGTGTCCAGCGCAACGTGACGAAACTAAGGCTCGTAAAGCAAAGTCAACTAGTCGCCGGTGACTCGAAATTTGTCAGACATCACGTCGAATGATTACGAAGTTTCTGTGAAGAATGAAAAAGAAAGAACTGCGTGCATACTGGGTGTCTGTACCAAATTTTTACCCACGCGTATATTTTCAACGCGTAGTGGCTCAAGCTTGGTGGCAATCGACTGATCGACAGGAAAACGAGTGGAACGATAAGTGTGAAAAGGTTGGACGTTATCTCGCGATGGTTTGGTCGTTTCATCGGATCGGAGAATGCGAAAAAAGGGGAGCGGTTTCGAAGGGAGCATGGCTAAACGAATTGGTCGTGAAATAATAATCACGGATAGTAACGTAACTAAAGAGAAGTAGAATTTCGATTCGTAGAATGCCAGCGATGTCGTTTTCCCTGTTTGTCTGTTCGTCGGCTGAAATACGGCGAATTCGGCGAAGCGGCCGCATAAAACGCGCATTATTCTTAACTTTTTCTCGACGGCGAATTCGCCAAGACGGAGAGCTTGGGGCGCGCGCGCACGCTCGGCAAATCTATCCCCATCAAACGCAGAACGACGTTACCGTTTCCAGCCAACGTCTTCCCAACCTGTGCTCCTCTTTTCATCGCGGCGAGCACCAGCGATGAGTCGCTGGAATTTCCACGAAAGAGCGGCAGAGAAACGATGGTTATGGTTCGACGAGACCGGCGTTACAACCCTGTTATCGGTCGCCTTTTGATCCGGCGCTTCTATTTCGATCTTCCCCCCCCCCCCTCTCCTTCTCCCTCTGTTTGAAGGTTTGTTTGCCAGCTTGGAATATTCCGCGCGGCAAAATTACCGCTCTAATGCGATTTTAATTGTATTGCCGTCGCTTTGTCGACGGTAATAGAGAAATTGAAACGTTTACTCGTTATCGCCGCTGGTAATTGTTTTCCTTGGGCGTTCCGCGGAATCTTTTAACCTGAATCTCGGCTCGTTACGCGCGCTCACGCTCGGGAATTTTCAGCACGTTGAGATTTTACACGGGAACTTACCTATGCGCTTGAACTGCGATTATATATAAAAAATGGAAATTACAATTGTGGCGGTCTTATTTCTCGGTAAAAATGGACGAGAGAATGGTTTGCAGAAAGTTTTGCGCCGATTACGCTTTAGTCACGGGGAATGAGAATTTTGAACAGTCGAAAGGAAATTAATCAGCGCCGTCTGTTATCAAAATATTAATCCATCCTCCGCAAATAGCTCGCTATTTAGCTCAATCAACTCTCTAAACACACGCGCGTTGGGAATTCTTCCACGCGCAACGATCATCGGAGCTTCTGAAACGACCAGTTGAAACCGGGAATAACGCGAGATTTGCCCGAGCAAAATCCCCTCCGAGTAAGAGAGAGAACCGGTTATAAATCCCTCCGCAAATCATCCGAATGTCCAGGACAATCGTTTGAAATAAACGAGGCGAGAATTCCCGGCGAAATCAAAGGAGAAAAGACGCTCGAAGCGGAACAGCGTGAAACGTCAAACACAGTATAAATCCGCGGCGCCTCGCGCAAAGTCTTTTTGCGAGATCGTTGACAAGCCAAGGCGACCGGTTGGAAACCCAAGCGGACCGGCGCGAAATTAAACATCGCCGGGGGGGTGAGAGGGATGGAACGCGCGGATGACAAATAAACGGGGCGAGAGCCCGTCGACGGTCAGACTGAAAGGAGCAGCAAACGTCGGACGAGGAGGAGGAGGAGGAGAGGGAGAGGGAGGAGTGTTGGCCAACGTCTAGCAGGAAATAAAGGAGAGGCTGTCCTTCGCGCGCGAGCAAACCGGCGAGATATTAAAAACAAAAGTGGTCGACAGTGGCGGAGAGGGTGGCGGAGACGTCCGTGTGGCGGTAGGTTCATTTGAAACGTGATTCGTACAGCTTTGACGAAGAGGGTTGAAACGTCGCACGCGGTGGTCTCTCGCCAAATGATTGTTTCGCCTGGTGCGTACCATTGTTTCGATGTACGTGTACGTACTCATGTACGCTTTCGCGGCGGAGGCGAGCGTGGTCGTTGCCGGCTGATGCGTCCGTCAACCAAAGGATACAAAAAAAAAAGGGGGTTGAGGGAGTGAATTAAAAAAGTAGTAGAAACGAGAGACACGGGGAGAAAAGGGGAGGAATGTTTACGACAGATGCATATTCATGCGACGTGATGCTCTCGTCCTGGTCCAAGTGACGGGGATTAATCTGCATAAAATCTTTGCATTTCTGCAACTTGTAGTAGCATTTTGTGGGAAGCAAGAAATAATTTCGCACGAGAGGTGACTGTGTTTGAAGAGGAGTACGTGCAGCAGCTCGTTCAAAAATTATTTCATGTAATCTCGAAAATATTCGTGGATGTTGTTTTACAATATTCCTACCGACGACGATGCATGTTGAATTAATCAAAATTAATTAGTCAGCCTTCTCGTTGACAAGAATTTAAAAATATATACGATACGTAAAATCTTTTAATTTAAAATTTTTTGACGTTCTCGATAATTCGGTGGAAAGCTTGCGTGCACGCGCTGGGTGCACGATACGCAAGGAGAATGCAAAGATTTCCTTAAACTCGAGAGATACGGCAAACAGCATTGACCTTAATCCCTGATAATTAATTTCTATCTACTCCGCTCTCCGTTGTACGATAACACCGTTTCGTCAATATTTGCCGACGCTATTAACTATGTATGTATATCGTGTTCAATATTCATAATCGTAACTTACCGAGAACGACGAGTTTCACAGGCTGGCCGGAAAGTATCTTTCCCTGATCGTCCTCGAGCGTGCAACCCCATATACCGTCGTCTTCTAATCTCACGTTGTCTATATGCAACGCCGACGTGATAGAGTCGCCGATGTATCTATGTCCAGTGCCGCTCATCTCCGTTCTCGTGTTGATTGTAATCATATCTACCGGACTTCCCTCGTGCAACCATCTCGCTGGCCGTATTCTGTAGCTCCTAACAAGACAATTCGTGCCAATTAGGGAATTAATTCGGGGGCGACAATACCGGCTCCCGCACGAATTCGTTGTCGAAGCGATATCGACTTGGGCTACTTGCTCCCGCTACTTTAAATCGAATTTTCCCATTTACGGTCGAACAACTACACGTGCTGAACTGTGTCAGCAATTACGGCGCATCTATTTTGTTTTTCCTTTTTTTTTTTTTCATTTATTTTTTACACGAAGCGAACGCTGCTTTCCGACAGTTATTGGCTTTTTTCGACAAATTGACCGAGCGAAATTGATAGACTATCATTTTATCTGATTAATATCTGTTTGAAATTTGTCTAAAACAAGAGAGAGTTATTTTATTCTGGCATTTTTTTTTTTTTTTTTGCCGAACAGCGTTAAAAAATACCTTCTATAATTAAAATTTCGCTTATCTACGAGAGAATGAGGTTATTGATTATTTGTTTTTATTTAGCCCAAGTAAAAATTTCAAAACTAATGACGTAAATGTACATGTAATTTTGAAATTAAACAATTAATAATATTTCTCTTGAATAATAAATAATCGAATTTTAAATTGAAACGACTGAATCGCGATACGTAAACTAGAACTACCAGAATGATGAAAACGAACAGCGTGCCTATAATTTTTCATAGAAATTTTTTAAATTGAAACGATTTTTCGTAAGGTATACCTATAAATAGACGTGTTCTTTATTGAGTTGCACACTTTTTTCTATTCTTTGTATTTTCATTTATCTGGCACAAGTTTTATATTCCGGTCGTCGGGTGTTAAACCGCTTGTTTAATACGTGAACGCGATAAATCTTAAATAAACACACCTTCCGTCCAACTAAACCACCTATTTTCACGCCAGATAAATCACTTTCTTCCAAACGAGGAGAAAGAAATCCTTCTCGAGGAAGAAACGAATGAAAACCGACACGCACATTTTCCACGATATAAATTCATCTTTATGCTAAGAGTAGACCCTCGCTCGAGAATCTCGGGACAAGCATATTTCTCTCGAAACTGGAGAAAATTAAATAAAACTTTTCAACAACAAAATATCTGTAAAATCTATTTTAAAGATACAATACGTGCAATTGAAAAATTAACCGAACAGCTGAATGTCAACCCGTTTCGCTGTCTAAAATTAAAAAGACGAATCGCTAGAGAGAAACTGTTCAGCGATTAAAGGGTTAAAAACGTAGAAAAAAAAATTTTCGAGCGTGAGCGTATGTACGTAATTTGAATCTCGCGACGTATCAGCCGGTGCGTATTTCATTGGTCGACGTGAAGAAGCTTGAATTACCTTGCTCCGGCCAACAATAGCGTCGAGTAATGTTCCTCGAGCTCGCATGGCAGTACGACCTTGCTGTGAGGTTTCACCACCAGTTCCAAGGGTGGCTTTGACGAAGCGGCAGCTGTATCTAAGGAGACTGGAACATTGGTTGTAGCGGAAGAACTGGTAGACCATAAGTCCTCTTCGGGGGCTAAAAGGGCCGCGGGCTGCGCCACCTCGTCCGACAGAGAAATCAACGTCGAGCTGGACGTCGTTGTACTGGTGGTGCTGGTCGTGGTTCTTCTAGCACGGCGTCCGCCCTCTTGCCTGCCACGGAGGGTGAAAACACCGGCCTCGTTCACCGAGCCTGCAACAGTAAAGGACAGTGTCATCGTCATCTTGCCGTTCGCCAACGAATGATCGATAACGAAACTTCCAGTCTTACACTGGCAAAGAGTTTGGGACAGAGTCACTTCCGCGACGAATAATTCAAACTGGTACTCGCCGAGGATTTCTTTTTGGATTTCTTTCTTTCCGGCAAATGGAAAAATTAATCGGGTAGAAGTTCGTTGAAGTCGTCGATCTTTCGACGAGTGAAAATAGACCAGAGTCAATTTGAACCGAACGAAGAACTGTAAAGTTGAATTTGTTTGTTTCGCGATAAGTGAATTCGGACTCTAGAAATTTTGTACAAAATTCCACTTCTAACTGAAGTGTTAAAAAATCTTACGTAGCAAGGAAAAAAAGATAATCTGACATGTAGTTGGATGTCATTGAATCGATGCTTTCAAATATTTCATTAAGATTGTCCAAGTGTATTTATAATTGTTGTTTTTTGTATATACATTTTTCGGAATTTCAGTTGCAAACTTTCGACGTTTGGTTTAGGCATTTTATCGGGGCATGAACTTTTGTATATTTTTTTTCACAGAACACGCGAAGTTTTAAGTTTAAATAAAGAAGCTTCTCAAGTAGCTCGATAGTCGATGTAATAAACGTTTCATTATGTACTTTATTTAATCAAATTATACATCTTAATGGCTCTGACGCAATCACGAAACTTGACAAAGCCGTAAAATAAACGGCGCTCCACGCAAGCAAAGGCACTTCTTAACTAAATGGTGTTTCCATCGCTCGGTCGATACTCCTCGAAAACTGTCTATCAGCTTTGGTAGACCAAGGCTGCCCGGCGAAAACTAATTATGACTTCGATGAACCGCAAATAGCTATAACTATGCAGCGCGACGAAGGCACCTTGTCGATCCGTGTCTAGTCATCCTCTCTTCTTGCAACCACATTGAACAAGCTAATGTTTATTACTTGGCAAACGGTAACACGGCCGAAAATCTAAAAAAACCTGATTCTCGTTTCATCGTCTTTTGTTCGATTGAATTCCCAATCGAAACGACATTTCGTCGACGCGCCAACTGCTAGATATTGATCAAAAAATGCAAAGAGAAATATTTCTGAAATTCATGTAGATTCAAGTAGAGCACGTTCCGTTTGATTTATTCGCACTTTTTCTTTACTTATGTTTTTGGGGAAAAATTTGGAAACGATCAAATAATAAATGAGAAACGCGTATACAAGTCAATCACCATATTCTGAAAATGAAATTCCCCAAAAATTCATAAAAATCCAACGATCAACGATAGAAATTCGACTTCCTATTACGAAAAAAGTGGCGTAAACTTCTTCAATCTCTAAGAACGTACGATGTCGAACGATCGGCGTTCGTCAACATTTCCCGATACGTACATTCGCGATCGGTTATACATTGACACCGAGTGGATGTTATTCAACGTTGATGCATGCATTATTCAGACCGTGTATCCATTCATTATTCATGTCATGATCAATAGATGTCAACAGACCGCGATCTGTATCTGAACCATCGCGCGTCGCCGTGATGGAAAGTGAAAGCAGTTGGGCTGCTGCCGTTCGAATGCGTCCGCGACACGAAGGGGCCGTCGGTGGACCGATCGGATTTTATGAAACGAAGGAACCGGATGCGAGCACGCTTGTCTTCGCAACAATGACACGTCATTGTTGCCTGAATGGGTCTGTTTGGTCATCGATACCGTTGACAAGATAATCAGCCAATTGTAGCGTTAGTTAATGCCTTTGAATTCAGATGTCAAGTTTCAATATAGAAATCACGCAGTCCTATGTGCGGACCTATTGGACCTATTGTGCGGACCACGAACATGGTCGATTAATGAGATTTACGGGTTGCTGCGAGTTTTCGCGATCAAACTGTCTGTCGCTCAATCAAACTGTGAAAAAAAAATAATAATAATAATGAACTCGATTCTGTAATGGATAAAGGAAAGTTCAAAATTTTCTGTGTGTATCTACTGGCGTGTATCTACATTGTACTTGTTCAAAAATTTGGTGCATGTTGAGGTTTCAACAAAGAAAAAAAAAGAACAGAGGGAGAACAGCAGAAATTCAGATTTCTCCGAGCAAACAAATATTTTATTCATAACATTGCAACAAGCAGAGAAATTTTAATTGAGTATATTTAAAAATTAAAATTATAATTGCCATGTTCCCACAGAAAGTAAAAACTGCTTGAAATTTTTTAGCTATGACGGACGATGTGTTTGTATCAGTGACTTTTAGAATTTCGTTGTCCCCGTTAAACATATTTATTAAATTTAACATTCTGAATCATCTCGTATCCATTTGCCTTTGAAATGTTTCTACGATCGACACTTTCGAACCGTGGAGTTTGATCAATCGTTGGTAACAATGCAATCGTATCGGTGTATATCGGATACTCGAAAATTTCAGATAGAAAGAATCATGATCGAAAAAGAAAGAAAAAAAAGTGAACAAAAGACAGTTCTTTGTTACGGAGATGGACGATGTTTAAAACTTTCGGGTGAAACAAAAAGATGACAAACGCGTTAGTCGTAAAGATCGATATCAATGCGTGACACGTTGAAGGAAGCGTTATCGATAAATTTCGAGGTTATGAGGTTTTCGCATTTCACGCGAGTCGAGAAACGAGAGGGGAAGCGTTACCGATAAATATCGATCGAATTTCCACTGGATGCCGGATAAATTGCTCGTTTCTGGGAAAATCAACACCAATAAATTCCGGGTCGTGGAAAATCGGCGGCCGATAAATTTCTGGGTCGTAAAAATCGATGCCGATAAATTCTCATCGGTTTTGGGTAAAACATCCTCCCGTGCGGCGACGTTAAATTTCGGGTCGTGATAACCGATCGCCGAATAAATTGCGAATCATAAGGACCGATAACGTCCGAATAACGTTGCCCTCCACGGATGATCGACGATGATTTTCGGGTCGTGGTAATTTCGCACGCGATGACAAATTCGCCGCGCTCGGCAGCCGAGGGACCGAGATAAATTCTGGGTCGTGGCACGCGGCATCGATAAACTCCGCGTCCGCTGGACTCGAATCTTTCATTAATCAACCCTCGCTGCAACCCAGTTATGTTATCCTATACACACATACATACACACACACACACATGTACAAAACACATACACGCACAAAACGTAACTGAATACGTGGGAAACGCTTTGACGTGAATGAACTCGACGTTTAAAAACTATGGTGTAAATTCGTATGGACATGCAGCGGAGACAGTGGACAGTGTTTCCCGTACCGCGTATTATATTTCCTTTCGTTTACGCACTGATTAATTAAATCCGAGAATATTAAATTTCCTTTTCTGTTTTTTTTTTTCTGTATCGCTACAGAAATTTAATTTAATTTAACGCAAAGCCTAATAAAAAAGAGCCGCCTCGAGAAACGTGAAGTCGAATTACAGGGAACTTTGTCGTCCAATATCTTCAGCTTTATTTATTTTAAAGTACAACGTTGCGCAAGATACATGTAATGTAAAAGAAAAAAAGATGTATAAAATGTGCGATGGTTTCTATAACGTTTGGTGCGCGAGATTCACAATACACAAACTCTACCATTTTCGAAAATAGTAGAATTTGCATGGAAACCAGCAGTGTCTGTTAATGGCGCGAGTTAGAAATCTGTGTGTCACGCTGTCTTCATTTGAATATTTCGGCGAGATAAATTGGACGTAAGTTAGGGAACAACTTACTGACGCGAGTTGCGTTCTACATTTGTCGCGCAATAAGTCATACATTTAGCTTCTTGACACGTACACCGCGCGTCGTACGGATCCGGTATGTTTACGGGAAGTAACATGGACAAATTACCTAATACGTCTTGCGTCTCGCTAATCTAAAATTGAAATGCCGAAACGCATCTCCGCGTTGCTCCGTTGATAGAATAAAACGTCGGGTACTTCCTCGCCTTTTCGTCAATCTCTGTCGCAAAGAAATGGCAAAATTGTCGTTCTTCGCTCTCCAGCGTGTCAAAAGATTGACACACTTTTCCCAGCAGCTCGCCTTGAAAAGCGTTGGCAAAACGTATCGAACCGACACCTCGTACGTTCGATGCAGCGTGCGGCATCTTTGCAACCTCGTAAAATTTTGAAGAAACTCCGAGTTCAAAACAACCAACACACAGGGAACAACAAACGCCCGCCGTTCTATGAAATCGCAAAGATAACCGGCAACGAAACGCGTCTTCCGTTTTACCCGCGCGCGTTACTCTCGGTTACTTATCGAGTGATAAGCAACGCGAAACCGTCGGGAACACAACTTAGAGGGGGAGGGAGGGAAACGCGAAATGAGACGAGAAACGGGAAAGAGCAAACAAGGAGACGGCGAGGCGAGTCGAGGCGACGTGACGTGACGTCTTTATTCTGGGCACGTTTGCATGTATGTATGCATGCGAGTCGCGCGACAATGCGAGGTTGTAAAACGGTTAAGAGGATTTGTCACCTCGTGTCACTGGATAAACTCCTTTTCCTTCGCTCGCGAAACTCCCGCCGTGTCGCTACCTCCGGTTGACATCTTCGGGGATACGATTTGCAAGAGACTGTGGCTCTCCGTCTCTCTTCTCCACCCTTCTGTCTTCTCTCTTTTACGCACGTTAAAGTGAACCCAAGCCGCGCGTTCTGATTCCCTTTGTTCGCCGCGCATCAAACGTGAAATATGCGAGTTCACTCGAGGAATTTCGGTAATTTGCCGAGAAGGAATCGGGGGGGGGGGGGCTCGGGCTCTGTCTTTAATCCCCCCTTTCCCCCGTCGAAATACTAGATTTGTCGAACGAGCTACTACGAGTAGAGGAGCGGAAGGGAGGGAAACTTAGTCTCACGAAACGCATGTGATACCGTTGGAAAGTTGGCTGCAAGTTCCTTCGCCGCGCCATCTCTCCTCTCGAACGCCGGCGAAACTCTTCGACACTGAAATCGGCAGGGGTTGAGGGGAGCAACCCTCCCCTCCCCTTCTATCCTGCTGCCGGCT